TGTAGCTTTGCGCCTTTCCTGGAGCTCACTTGGTAGCCCAGGCTGGCCTCGAACTCACAGAGATCCGCCTGGCTCTGCCTCCCGAGTGCTAGGATTAAAGGCATGCGCCACCAACGCCCGGCGCATTATCATTTTTTGTTTGTTTGTTTTTCAAGACAGGGTTTCTCTGTGTAGCTTTGGTGCCTGGCCTGGATCTCGCTCTGTAGAACAGGCTGGCCTCGAACTCACAAAGATCCACCTGGCTCTGCCTCCTGAGTGCTGGGACTAAAGGTGTGCACCACCGCCGCCTGGCAGCTTTATCATATTGATTGCAAAATAATGTCTACACATTATGTAAAGATCAACTATACTTTTGTGTTTGACTATTTGAGACAGGGTTCACTGCGTAGCCCAGCCTGGCCATAAACTTGTGGTCTTCCTGGCTCAGCCTCCCAAGTGCCAATATTCAGTGTGTTCAGGTTCAGCCCACCCTGGGGAGCTCGCATATCGTGGTAAAATTTGCAATTCTTGGGTTTGCCTATAAGCACTTGCCACGAAAACCTGGCGGTTTGAGTGTGATCCCTGGAACCCGTGTAATGGGGGTAAGATGAGGACTGACTTTCAAAGTGCCCTTTGACCTGCACCTGCGCTCATCCCCCGGGCGTTTTATGAGGATTTCAGGTACCCTGCTTGGCGCACTGGGGAGCCCTAGGTAAAAAGCAGCCGTCGTTAGTGTGTTAGGAAAGTTCCCGGAAGTGTGAGAAGATGTCTTAACGAACCTGCGCTGTGGCTGGAGCCACTGTACAATCAATATAGTCACTGCGTCCATTAACGTTTCATAAGTGGTGCAGGGGCGCTGGGCAGCCCTGACATCCTGGCGTGCCTGTACAAAGAGGTGTGCAGTCACCATCTCAGAGGAGAGAGAAGACATGTTAGCTGGGGGTTAGAGCCTTTGAAGACCAGGCCTGGGTCCCCCCGTTGTCCCGTATCCAGGAACCCTAGGAGGAGAAGGATTCCACCAACACTGGGTGAGTTATGCCGCTTCTCCCCAGCAGAGGGCAGTATACTCGGTCCTAGCCAATTAACTCTGCCCACCTGCCTGGCTTATTAATCAGAAGCCTCATTTAATCACTCTGTATAACATCTGAGGAAAAACCACTCTTCCTCCCCCTATGATTAGAATTTTTTAAAAAGCCTTAAAAAAAAAAAAAAAGCTCTCCAGGGATGGATTGGATCACTAGAAATAAAAGCCATCTTATCACAGCCTTTGCTTGTGATGACCGGGTGCAGCTTTATGATGATTCTGCCGTGTCCCACTGCCCAGCCTGTGTGATGAGGGAGGGCTGTTGGATCGTCCTCCATTGTCATCGGTGGCCATGTGGCAGTGACTGTAAATCACTGTCACCCACCGTGGCAAGGGGCTGACCTTGGAGCCAGGAGAGTGTTTGAGAGAACCTGCCATTTACGTCAGGCACACCGGGCTCCTGTGTGCTCTAACCACAGAGCCCAGCTACCTGTAAGCGGTATTTGCTATACACTTACAGCAAATGATTCGTCATCGTTTATCGGAGATTCAGATTAATAGGACCTACTGTGCAGTCTGTCCACCGGATCTGACACCACTAGGCTTTGAACAAATTTCTTAACTTCTTCTCTCTAGCCGTGGACAGGAGAGGAAGCCTCATTGGCCACTGTTGAACATGGCGACACCTGGGGGTCCAGAGCCTGACACAATCAGATGTTCAATAAACGGCACCAGCCATTCCTGCTGTTTCACAGCCTGGTGTGTCTTTCTCTCTTCCAGCTACATTGTCACCGGGGACATTAAGGGCAACATTAAGTTCTACGACCACACCCTGTCTGTCGTCAACTGGTACAGTAACTTCAAACTAGGTGCCATAAGGACGCTGTCCTTTTCAAAGGCCCCAGCAAGTCCGCCTACCGAGAAATCCAACCTCCCCATAGACTGCACTTTGAAAGGTGACCTTTTCGTCGTCAGGTGAGTCGCTAATGAATGGCGTCACTTGGATGGCCCCGAAATGACTGATGGCCTCTTTCAGCTTGCACACAGTGCAGTGAATGTTCCTCTTGTTCCTAGGATACAGAGTTGAGAGAGTTCACCTTCCTAGTTTTACTGGTGGCTCTCCTTGGTTGATTGCAGTCAGTATTGGACTGTTTTGATTTTTTTGTTTTTGGTTTTTGGTTTTTCGAGAAAAGGCTTAACTGTGTAGCCTGGACTATCCTGGAACACACACTGTAGACCAGGTTAACCTGGAACTCACAGAGATCCGCCTGGCTCTGCCTCCCGAGTGCTGGGATTAAAGCCGTGCGACACCACCACTTGACTTGTGTGTTTTGTTTTGTTTTGTTCCAAGACAGGATTTCTCTGTGTTGCCCTGGAGATTTTTTTTTTTTAAATTAATTAAAGGTTTTAACTACTTAGCTGCCTGAGTAACTGGAAGCTGGGTGGCCTTTATCCCCCAGTTCTTATCTCCACTGTGCCTGGGGTCCTTGGCCGTGGAGTGACCTCATTTCTTGGAGCGGAGCTTGTCCTAGCCACCGAGGTTAAAGGCACTGGGTAATCGGTAGCCATAACATTTCAGGAGTGAATTATCTGCCAGTCTGCTTAATTACCCTTGCAGTCTTTACAGGCACATCTGTATGTGTGCTCCCAACTCCATATTTGCATACACAAATGAATATTTGCATGTGTAGATTAGCTAATTGTACAACTGACTGTCCATCTGCATACTTAATGACTCAATTTACATGAGGAAAAGTGGGCTTTTTTCACTTGCAAATGGAGGCTGTTGGATGTTGGCGGTATATTTTTGGAGATGTTGGGTTAATAATGTCACCAAATTATAGACGACAAAGGCGGTTCACGGGCAATTAGAAGCAGAATGGCTGCTGTGGCCATTCCCTGAAAACACTGATCCTGCCGGGTCTCTCTCCGGCAAACAGGAATTTTATTATCGGAACGTTTGACGCCACCGTGTACCACATGACGGCGGATGGCACCAAACTCGAGAAGCTCTTCGTGGAGCCCAGGGACGCCGTCTACGCCATCTCCTGCCACCCCTACCAACCCCTCATCGCGGTTGGAAGTGTCTGCGGGATGATCAAGGTGTGGGACTACGAGAAGAAGGTGTATCTGTTCAGCAGGGCCTTCGAGAAGGGGCTTGGCGTCCAGAGTCTGACCTACAACCCCGAAGGTACTCACTCTCACCGTCACAGGGGCCAAGACACCCACAGGGGCCATGCCCTGGGCTGTCACCAGCCGCTTGTCCCTCTCCCCCGCCTCGCACACAGCTATGCCATAGCGACCTTCCCAAGTGTCTCTCTTGCCGTTTTCTCCGTGGCGTTTTATTTTTCTTTTGCTTATTGCTGTCGGGCAAAGCCTGCCGCAGACTCACCCCTGGAATGAAGGAAGTGCTTTTTTTTGTTTTTTAACTTATTTTTTAATTTTATGTACATTGGCGTTTGGCCATGGGTGTCAGGTCCCTGCAACTGGAATCACAGACAGTGGTGAGCTGCCATGTGGGTGCTGGGAGTTGAACCCGGGTCCTCTGCGAGAGCAGCCAATGCCCTTAGCCACTGAGCCTTCTCTCCAGCCCCCAAGGAAGTCCTCATTTCTATCCTTGTCCTCTGACTTGTCTTTTCAGGAGCCCTGCTTGGAGCTGGATTCACCGAGGGGACAGTTTATATTCTCGACGCGATGTCTTTAGAAAATGAAATTCCAGAGCCCTTCAAATATTCCAGAACGAGCGTGTCTCACGTCAGCTTCTCGCACGACTCCAACTACCTGGCGACGGCTGTGAGTCCTTCCCTCTGCTCAGGGCTCTTTCCGCACAAAGAGGCGAGGAGTATGGGGAAATCGGGGTTCACATCCCAGTCAGGCTGTGCTGCAGAGGGGAGGGGGTGGGGTGGTGAGGTACAAGGACTTCCGCAGGCAGACAGGAGCAAGGCCTCAGAACTTCCAGACTTGGATTCTGCAGACCCAGGGGCTGGCTGTCGTATTTCTGGGACCCCGAGACCCAGGGACTGGCTCTTGTATTTCTGGGACCCCGAGACCTAGGGACTGGCTCTTGTGTTTCTGGGACCCCGAGACCCAGGAGCTGGCTGTCATGTTTCTGGGACCCCGAGACCTAGGAGCTGGCTGTGGTGTTTCTGGGACCCCGAGACCCAGGAGCTGGCTGTCATGTTTCTGGGACCCCGAGACCCAGGAGCTGGCTGTCGTGTTTCTGGGACCCCATCTCTCTGTACCCCATCCTTCCTCCTCACTCATTTTGACAAGGCAGCCTCCTCGTTGATCTCAATGTCCTTCCCCAGGGGTTCAGACTCTGTTCCTTCCCTCTGTGACTAGGGCATGGGATCTCAGGAAAGTGGTTCTGGCTGTCCCCTGGTCTGCCTTTCTGTCAGGTGTGGCAGGGTGGTGTGGTGGTGGTGGAGGTGGTAGGGAGGAGGAGGAGGAGGAGGAGGAAGGTCCTCATGGGCCCACTTCCCTCTGGCATCCCACCACATCCAGCCTGGCTTGTACACGCAGCACCAGTAAGGATCAGAGCTGTCCTGGCCCCCAGCATGGACATTCGACCTCCCTGCCAGCCGCTCTCTGCCCCTCTGTACCTGTACCAGACCTTTTTACTTTCTGCAGTAGAGAAAAGTAGGGAAGACAAAGGCAAAAGCCTCAGGCCTTGGCTTTCCCTGGGGCACTGGGTAAGAACATGGGAGGAAGGCGTGAGACTGGCCTCCCATTGTCCTTCCTCCCCAGTAACCTCAGTCTCCTGGTCTGCAGAATGGGCACCACGCTTCCTCCTTGTTCTGCCCTGCTAAGATTTATTTGGATAAGATGTTCTGAAGGCCAACGGGTCTGAAAACCACGGTGGCGCTTCCCAGGTCCTAAAGTCGAGGGACAGCTTCTGCTCTTGCTCCCTTAGGATATCAGTTTCACGGTGGCCGTGTATAAGGTGGTGGTCGTAGATGGACAGAGGGTCTGGGAATATCTGGCGAGACTCCGCTCTCACCATAACAGCATCCGGAGCCTCCTCTTTGGTGTACACCTGGACAGCAACGAACCCAGGCTGCTGAGCCTCGGCAAAGACAGGTTCCTGGTGAGCCGTTCAGTTGGGTTTGCTCATCCCCAGCGCCATACCCCCCACCCCCCACCTACCCCACCTCACCCCCGCCCATTTCATCCCTGACATTTTATGCAAACTCCACTGTGGGAGCCCGTTCTCGGGTTCCTCGTGGCTTTACCCAGCAGGTCCGCATAGAGGATGATCAGGACCACGGGCCTGAGTACAGGGGTCTGGGATGGTCTGCACTTGGCTGTGCTGGGGGAGGAGGTCTTTTGCTCCACCCCTTGGCGTCTCTATAAAAACCCTGGGCCAGAGACAGTCCGGCCCGTTGGAAAAGATTCCAGGCCCTCTTGAGGCTGTCCTGTATTTTCCATCTGTTCATCTCCACAATCTAAATCCTTCTATCTAATATTTCCTGCTGCTCGCACTCAAGAAAACTCTGGGGAAGCTGTGGGGTTGGTGGGTAAACGCCCCGCACTCCACCTGTAACGTGTCCAGAAAAATAACGGTATGGTGAAGTCTCACAGAGCTCTCCGCATTGGCATCTCTGAGGTGGTGGCTCGCGTGGCCCATATCCCGAGGTGGGGATTTCGGGCGGGTGGGCAGCAGGGAGGGTGTGTCCCACACAGGACAGATGATGCGGCTGCCTTCACCTCCCAGAGACCACTGGGAAAGTTGACACTCTCTGGCACCTCCTCGGCATCCAAGGGTCAGGGTGAGACTGTGACTTACCTGAGAAAACAGCAGGACGGGACGGGGCAGACGCAGTGAGGCAGCCGAATTTGCTTTCCATTGCTGTGAGAAAACTGAGCAAAACCGACTCGGGGGAAGACAAGAGTTTACTTGGCTTGTGCCTCACAGTCCCTCATTGGGGGAAGCTGAGGCAGGAAGGAACTCAAGACAGGAACCTGGAGACAGGAACTGAGGCAGAGGCCATGGAAGAGTGCTGGTTACTGCCTGCTTTCCAAGGCTTGTTCAGCTACTTTCTCACACAGCCCAGGCCCACTGGCCCATGGTCATGGCCTCAGGCCAATCTGATGATGGAGGAGGCAGTTCCTCAAGTGAGGATCCCTCTCCCCAGGTGAGACAAGTTGACAAAAACTAACCAGAGCAGTAGGGACAGTGGGTGACTGATCAGGTCAACCCTTACCAGCTCAGAAGCGACCACTCACGGCGTCTCCGCCCGCCCCTGCTCCCATTGCCCCCCACCCTTCCCGCCCCTTCCTCCAGGCCTGCCTTTCCCCTCTTTTCGGTCATCTGTATTCTCGGGGGCCAGACCGAGCAGGCTGCGAATCTGGGACCATCGAGTGCCATGATTTAGGTTTGAATTCATTTCCTCAGATGAGGGAAGGGGCGAGGCCGAAGTTAATCCATCGTCAGAGTTCAAGTTTGGGGTCAGCTGGCTTAGACTTAAGTTCTCACTCCTTAGACACTTGGCTGCGTGTCCCTGGGCAGGCCACTCGGAATGTCTCTGACACCTGCTCATGGGCCTGTGTGCAAAGAGACACAGCCCTGCAGGGACTTGGGGGGTCCACGGGTGTGATGGTTTAGGGTGCTGAGCCCACCACCCTGCTTCCTGGGAGTCCTTGGAGAAGGTGGCACCCAGGTGTAGAGTCAGGGAACTTCCCTTAGAAACCCAGCCAGTTACCATACAGGTCGACACCCAAGGCTTGAAGCTTCTCAGCCAAGTTTGGCCTCCAGCTGAGCCGGGGTTTCTCAACCTCTAGGTTGTGACCCCTTTGGGGGTGGGGGTGTTGGACAACCCTCTTACAGGGGTCGCCTAAGATTATCAGAAAACATAGACACTGAATTACAATTCATAACAGTAGGGGAATCACAGTTATGAAGTAGCAATGAAAATAATTTTATGGCTGGGGGGTCACCACAACACGAGGAACCGTATTTAAGGCTCGCAGTGTTAGGAAGGTTGAGAACCACTGAGCTGGGTCTTCGTGCGTCCCCCGTGCGCCTCTGCAGATAGAGTACAACCTTATCAAGAGCTACAAAGACCACCTGGAAGTCCTGGACATTCACCGGACAGACCAGGGGACCTACCCTACCTGTATGATCTGGTACCCGCCGCTCACCAAGGAGCTCTTCCTGCTCATCTGTAACAGCTGCTACAAAGTGAAGCTTTTCAATTCCACCACGAAAATGTGCAGGTGAGCGTCAGGGCACCCCACTAATGTGCTGCTGGCTACCCCCACTTTTCAGCCCCCAGCTGGTAACAGCTCAGCCCCTTCCCTTCGCAAAGGAAGAAACTGAGTCACAGAGAACGTTAAGTCAGGTTCACCCAAAAGCACACAGCGGGGTCACGCCTGAGGAGAGGTGCCGGCCTGGGGTCCCTGTTTTCTGCCAGGTACCAGGGAGGTAAGGGTCCCAGAGCTTGGTGCCCAGGTGTCTCTGAAGGACATAGCTCTGGAACCTGGAAGTCACTGGAGTTCCAAACCCGCCATCCTTTTCTGTACAGGAGAGAAAAAACGAAACCAAAACCAACTATAACAAAACACGACAATTGTTTGATTTTTGTTGTGGTTGTTTTGATTTGATTTTGAGAGAGGGTCTCACTCTGTAGTCCTGGCCTCAGCCTCCTGAGTCCTGGGATCACCGGTGTGTGCTACCACGCCTGATTCGCCTCACGCTGCTTCTCAAAGGAGTTTTAAGTCCAGCTGATGACATTCATTTGTTCATTCCTAACATGGGCCAGGTAATGTCCCGGGGGGTGAAGGTGGGTACAAAGCGCCACCGTGGGGCGGACACTTCAGTGATGGGGACACACACGAGTGAGGAGGTGGCCGTGGCAGTGCCTCAGAGTGACTAGGGGACAGGTGTCCAGAGGGAGGTCCTGGAGGGGCGGGGCAGATGGGTTGCTGTCTTCCAAGAGTACCCGGGCGGGGCGTCTTCAGGAGGAAGGAGTAAATGGGGACATGGAGCGGAGCGGTGGTGGCGCACGCCTTTAATCCCAGCACT